TTAAGCTTGTTTTCCATTTGCAAGGGGTAAAGTATATAGGGAACTTGTTGACCAAAATAGAGCTCCTTTATGGAGTTCTTTTTAACAAGCTGGTTAGCTAGATCAATGTGTTAAACAAGTGAGAAATGCAAAATGTGCAGAGCAGGGGGTCACAAGGACCATGCAGTATTGACAACTGCTGCCCTAATTTAGCATTCGGGAATATAAAATGTTCAAGGTATTGAACATGTGAAGAAAAATGCAGAATATACAAACATTTATCGTAATACTAAAATCTTAAGCATTGACTTATGCTTACCAAAACTAAAATGGACAACATTACCCAAATTCAGTGTAATTTTTAAGCTCTATACTAAAGTATTGTTTTATAATTAGCATCCTGCAAATGTTAAACTACAGGTGCCAAATGTGAGCCAAATCTCTTGTGTTGTTTTGTCTGACAGACATGTTATTAAGTTGCATATACAGTAGTTATTTACGTGCAGTTAAAGGTTCAGTTTACTTGCAAATGATGATTTACTAATTTACTTACCCCCATGCCATTGAAGATGTAAATGAATTTTTATCTTAAGAATATTTTTAGCTGAAACCGTGAACACTGGTGATTAATAAAATGCAAGTCAAGCGCTACCAGCACTCTCAGGGTCAAAAGCATATGCATGCAAATTAAAAATACCCATTTTATGAAGCTAAATTAACATTTTTGGGGCAACTACTCTTCTTTTATATCTCGTCAATTAAATGTTAGATTTTAATGACGTTTTTTATTGGTCAGACAGATTACCAAAATATTAACAACTGTCCATTTAAAAGAGTATATTGTCAATTATGTAGCAATACTTAAAACAGAAGTCACATTGAAACGAAGCGACTTTCCGTTGCTAAATGCAGCAGATTTAAATATGAGCTAAATCTGTATGGGGAAACATTTTCACTCTGATCCCAAATCTTCACTTAATCCCTATAGAAATGGCTGTGTTTCACTTGTAAAAATGAGCTGAATTACAGTGAAAGTGTCCGTAACTTCAGAAGGAGGCTGCTGGACAGGCAAATCACAAGGTTTTGGAACTGGTTTTGAGTGTTTTGGGATGTTATGAGTTTGGGAAGCACATTAGGGAATCCATTCGTAACCTCATCAACAACAGTAGCTGAATCTTGCAGATAATATATGCATTAATATGCATAACAAAGGAAGACAATTAATGAGAGAATAAAACCAATGAGCCGATGTGCATGTGTAAAGGGGGAGGGGGAGAGTTTCTGTTCAATAGACTTGAAAATTATATGGGAATCCTCCCTCGAAACAATAAGAACCGGAGACAGTGGGAGGATGAGGTGTGTCTGTGTCTCTCTCTGTGTGTGTGTGTCAAGGTGCTCCAAAAGAGTCATTATTTAGCTCATTTACAATGTCTGAGTTGTGTCATAAGTAATACAATGATATTAATGGATGGTGTGTGTGCATCTGTGGGCAGTTTTTATTGTATTGGCCTGTCTCAATCTCACAGAGGAAGCTCAATTAATAATGACAGATAGGAGGAATTTAAATGGACTTTGAAATTGCTGTGAAATTATAATATAGGAGCCACTGAATAAGTAAGCATGATTGACAAGCGTTTGCACTACAGTTGTAGTCTTATAAATGACACTTCTAATTGTTTTGTTTTGTTGTTTTAGAATTTATCACCACCAGAGGCAGCAAATGGAATTGCAATCTGTTTGTAAGACTGCAGAGGTCAGACTGGATGCTGTTGAAGTCAAAATAACAATTAATTATACAGATTTTGCAGTTTCCTACAAATGATCTGTGCAATTATTCTTTTAGTAAAATTCATGTGATATAAACTTTGTTCAAACAGCTGTCTTTCCCTTTTGCAACAGTGCGTTTATGAAGAAGGAGACAGTCTGATCATTCAGTCGGTTCAAAATCATTTAAAATTAACCAACAGCAAAGCACAACGATACAATATAGTCCTGTCCGACACTTTTCTTGAGAACAAATCTCTCAAAACTTTTGATTTGTTTTTAATCTAAGTGATGGATTTGTATTCAATGGAGACTCTCGATTTTCACTGTCAAGTAATGGTAATATTAATGTACATCATTTAAGATTCTTTGTTGTTGAGATTTCTGAACTGATCTGCAAACTTTCCATTGATGCCCATGAGAAGAGTATCAAGAGTATCAGTCATATCACCCTGCAGCCCAAGACCGGTTACTCACTGAAGCTAAGCAGGGCTGAGCCTGGTTAGTACCTGGATGGGAGACCACTAGGGAACACTAGGTTGCTGTTGGAAGTAGTGTTAGTGAGGCCAGCAGGGGGCGCTCAACCTGTGGTCTGTGTGAGTCCTAATGCCCAAGTAAAAGTGAAGGGGACACTATACTGTCAGTGGGCGTCGTCTTTCGGATAAGACGTTAAACCGAGGTTCTGACTATCTATGGTCATTAAAAATCCCATGGCACTTCTCGTGAAAGAGCAGGGTTGTAACCCTGGTGTCCTGGCCAAAGTCCTTCTATCGGCCCTTATGATCATGGCCCCCCAATCATCCCCTTCCACCGAATTGGCTCTATCACTGTCTTTCCAATGGTGAGCACACTGGCGCCGTTGTCCTGTGGCTGCCGTCGCATCATCCAAGTGGATGCTGCACACTGGTGGTGGTGTGAAGAGACCCCCCCCCCTCATGATTGTGAAGCGCTTTGGGTGTATGGCCATACACAATAAATGCTCTATATAAATACGCATTACATTACATTACATTACAGCTCTGATGTGACAGCCGTATCATCCTGCAGCACAAGACCAGTTACTCAGTGAAGCTAAGCAGGGCTGAGCCTGGTTAGTACCTGGATGGGAGACCACATGGGAAAACTAAGTTGCTGTTGGAAGTGGTGTTAGTGAGGCCAGTAGGGGGTACTCATCCTACAGTTTGGGTGTGTCCTAATATCCCTGTATAGAGAAGGGGACACTATACTGTCATTGAGCGCAGTCTTTTGGATGTATGCTACATTCACATATAAATTGCTTCACTTATCAGGACCCTCACAGCAGCTATACAGGAATGAGTATTGAATTTATGTTTAATATTGTATTAATTAGATGTTTGTCTGCGTTTCTTTGTCTACACACATGTAGTGTGATATCAGTATTTGGGGCTTTTTAATGGGTAGCAGGGAGCGGGTCACAAACAAAAGCAAGACTTAGTTTCGGTATCTATGGGGCATGTTGTCACAATTCACTTCCAATGTTTTAGAGGTAAATAAGGAAAAAATATACACTTTACAGACTAATGTGAAATTAAGCAACTTAAGCTGGTTTAAAAAATGATCAAACTCCAAAGATTTACTAAAACATATGAATTAATTACATCCCAGGATGCAAAAATAAAATAAGATGTAAGCACTTGGGTATTTTATTTGAGGAAAAAAATTGTTTTGAATGTAATGCAATGCAGACATGGAACTGTTTACAAAACATTGTACAATTTTCTGTGCTTCTGTTATAAATTGAGTTTAAGTTACATTTTTCTTTTTTGATAAACTATACTTCTGATATGTGATTCAATTTTTTAGAATAAAGTTTCGATTTGTGTCTGTTTTAAATGTTTTGTTAGCTTTTGCTGCCTATGTTGGCCAGATTACTATATTACTAAATCAAATGAATGAATAAATTGGGAACTAAATTCTGTACTCTGAACCCTATGTTGTCTCTTTGTTCCATTTATGCTTTTGCTGTGTTTACCCTTCCCATCTGCTCCATGACAGTTTCTCCCCCATGTTAATTAGTTATTAATTTCACCTGGTCCCTCCCTGATTTACCTGATTTCTGCTTGTATTTACATCTTGTGCTTGCCGTTGTGTCTCTATCAGGTATACTTTACTTTGTGTTTTCCCCTGTCTTTCCTGATGTATTTTTCAGTGCTATTTAAATAAAGACTGCTTAAGTTAAACTCTGCGTTGCTCTTGTTTCTCCAAACAGTATAACCCTGACACATGTGAACTCACACAGACTTAGAAAGTCAAAACGTTTTAGGTTGTACCCCTGCACTACCATACTGTAGTAGTAAATAAAAAGAAGTATATATGAAGAGTTCAGATGCAAAAACCTCTAAATGCCATCTGAAATTTTCTTCTAAAATTTACTTTTTCATCAGGCTCCAGAGTGTATGTTTAATTAACATAATTTATTAATTTTCATAATCTTTATTGTAAAATAACATAAACAAAGGGGTCTGAAATTTTTTTCCAAAATTTCAGATAGCACTTAGAGGTTTTTGCATCTGAACTTTTTATAATCTCAGATATCATATACAAAAAGCTAAATGGCTTTGAAACAAAGAAAAAACGGGGTAACACTTTTTAATATTGGTCAATTAGTTTAGTTAATTAACTAACATGAACAAACACATTTATTATTACAGTATTTTTTCATCTATTTTATGGTATAAGGTTATTTAAGTTAATAATAATTAATGTAACTTGCTGTGCATTAACAAATGTTAACAAACACAACTCCGGATTTTAATAACGCATTAGTAAATGTTGAACTACAATTAATAAATACTATACAAGATTATTCATTAGTGAATGCATAAACTAATGAACTCCTATTCTAAAGTGTTGCCAAAAATGGAGATAGATAGAATCCATAAATAATAAATAACTTACTGCCACTGTGCCAGACATAATAAATAATAAAAAAGTGTAAGATGATGATGATGTTGACCCTTTTAAAATGTATATTTTCTAATGACAAACACTACCCAGCAGTGCTCAAAAAATATAGTATTATCGTATTAATCCGCCTTGTAAGTGATGACTTGTTTCCGGGTCCAAGCCGCCACTCAGTTGATAAATTATTTTTTTATGATCACTTTTAATTCATCTACAATTCAATCAACAATCTCTGGGCTTGCTGCATCACAAATACCAAAATTTTAACAATTTATAAAAAAATGAATCACTTTCTGGCTATCGGATATTAGGCATGGTGAGTATGATCTTACCCAGTATAGCCAGCACAGTGTTGTCCTTGAGCACTTCCATGGAGCCCGAGCAGACAAAGTATATGGCCTGCAGAGCGTCACCCTGGCGGATGAGGAACTCTCCTGGAGCGCAGAAAGAGGTTTTGATAATGAGAGAGAGCGATCGCAGGCACCCTCGACTGGCCGATTCAAACAGAGGCAGCTGCAGCAGCTCTTTATTCAGGTGCATGGCGATGTCGGCCCGCAGTTCATCTGGAAAGTCCTTCAGAAGCTGCAAAAGGACAAAGAGGCATTTTATTTCAAGTACTCGTACTTCTCAACCTTGAAAAGAATCACAAACTTTTGATTCACGGCTGATCGTCAAGGAGACTGCGGCAACGAAACCGCAGATCAGTCTTCTACTTGAACTTTAATTGGAGATGATATTGGATATCAAATCAGAAGGAGAGAGTAAGTTATGAGCTACGAGTTACGCAACGAGTGTTTTGAATTGAGCTCATTAAATACATTGTGAGTGTAAGATGGAATCTCTTGTTTATGAGCAGAACAGAGATACGGATGGGATAGTGAATGAGATGGGGGTGGAAGGCAGAAAGTAAATCAAATGATAAAAGAGATGAGGGATTGTGAAAGAAAAGGAGAGACGGTGAAGCTAAACAGGAATAGAAAAGCACACTCTAATCTTAGACAGATGCATCAAATGACACCAGTGATGTTGAGACCAGTAATGAGAACCAACTGTTGCGTAGATGAGCTAAAAATGCAGCCTGATGTCTTTGTTTATTCGTAAGTATTTTAGTATGAAACATTTATGGCTACAAAATTGACAGTTTTGTATGTTTTGATTGGTGCTGAAACAAAGTTTGGACGTATTACACATTCAAAACTTACCATTCATGCATTGAACATTCAAAACTTACCATCCATGCATCTACAGCAAAAAACGTGCATAGTTGTACTTTTATCACTTCAAAAAAGCTCATAAATTATTTAGATTTTTGGACCTGTTAGCCATTTTACAATAAACTTAACAAATTTTTTAAAGACAGCATAAAAAAAAAATTAAGTCGATAATCCAGTGCCTACATCTAAGCCTAAACATATACATTTCTAAAAAAATATGAGCAATTTAAATATGACAGACATTTGCAATCACAATCTTTTACCTCTTAGCTTAAACATGAATCACAATATTATCTCTAAACCTAATAATATACATTTCTTAAAACTTTGTGCTATTTAAATATGATAAACATTTGCAATCACAACATGTGATTGCATTTGTATAATTCGCATTTTAAATGTTGTCTGTGTGTCAGTATTTTGCATTTAGATGCTGTTAATAATTATAGTTTGTTTCAGTTTTCTTTACCACAGATACATATTCATGACCTCGTATTGTAAAAAACCATAAAATATAATACCATGAGCACAATAAAGTTTACAGGTTAATGGGAGATTAAGCATTCCTATTAATTTGAGCAATATTCACATAAAGAAATTGAGTTTTTTTAATATGAATGTATAAAAAAAAATGCTCATCAAGATTCCCGTAAGATCCTTATTGCGCTCAGGGATATTATTGTTTTATTGTGCCACAGAAGACAAGTTATTGGGGTTTTAAATAATGCTTCATGCTTTACAACTAAATTCTGAATAAGTGATCAAAATTTAACATAAGATGTATTCACATAAGAACACAACATTGTGTTGCTATTTCACCAAGCAGGTGAAGATAGATAGATAGATTTATTTTATTTATTTATTTTTATTTATTTAATATTATCGAAAGAATTCAAAGTCCAGAAATGTCATTTAACATCAACCTTTTGGTGAGTGATTCAAAGCTAAGGCAGACTCTGCTTGACTATTCAGCATTGAACTCCACTGCCTTAATAAATGTGACTGTTTGTGTTCTAACTGCAGTAAGATTCAATGTGTTGCTTTCTATTTGTTTTAAAATATTATTAAATACATTAAGAAATGATCCATGGCAACTTCAATGTCAAATAGTTTGGTATGTTTATCTTTGGCCCATGGCTCTCAATGATATTTGGTTTTTGGCTCTTCATACGAAAAAGTGTTGGCACCCCTGATTTAATGTTTACTTATATATATAAATGTACAACTTCAAAAAACAAAAATAATGCTAAATAATTTAAAATTTAACAACTTGTAAACAGTCTGACCTTTTTCACTGACCATTAATTAAATAAGAAAACACAAAAAACATATTGTGAACATTTTCATAAATCATGTCAAGAATCTGCTCAAGTTCAAAGATTAGTTAAGAAGAGCAGCTCTCATACTGCTAACATATTATCCAACTGAGTCTTTCCTGCACACCAATTATGAAAAACATTATTAAGTATTAACATTAAGGTCATACCTCGCTGACATCAATGCCATTGTTGACGGACCATGTGGTCTGAAAGCACTCCAACATGCGCTGCGCAAGGGCTTTGGGCAGTCGATGCACACGGATGAAGTCTTTGAGGTCTTTGGTTCGAGTGTGATAGAGTGAGCGGCGCGAGTACATCCGCTGGATAATGGCCGTCACGTTACCGAAGACTGCAGCGTGCATGAGTGCTGAGGAGAGACACACAACAAACATTTCAGGTCAATTTATAACTTCTTTTAAAAACTTTACATCTATGTGCCTTACAGTAGATTGTTCAAGGTATCTGGATCATGAATTAAAATTCCAGAAATTAAATAAAAATGCTGATAATTAATTTTTTTTATATGTTTTTAACTAAAAAAAAACATTGTCACTCAAACCATTTGAGGAAAATCGATTGCAACAAACCATTTGAGTTAAAACAATAATCCTAATGAGTACTGTGAACTTCATTTGAGCAAAGAAGCTATTTGAGCACAGTAAAACCCAATAAACGAAGAGAACTCAAATCAACCGAGTACTGTAAAAACCAATAAGGCAACTCAAACCATTTGAGGAAACCAATTGCAACAAACCATTTGAGTTAAACAAACTAATCTACATGAATACTTACTCCATTGAAGTTAAAGTAATGTGCTATTTAATTAACTCATTACCTTAAACACTGAGTTCAAAACTCTCTTCAAATGAGTAGAATTAACTTTCAGTAAAGGCGAAGCAGGGGCGCAGTAGGTAGTGCTGTCACCTCACAGCAAGAAGGTTGCTGGTTTGAGCCTTGGCTGGGTCGGTAAGCATTTCTGTGTGGAGTTTGCATGTTCTCCCTGCATTTGCGTGGGATTCCTCCGGGTGCTCCGGTTTCCCCCACAGTCCAAAGACATGTGGTATAGGTGAATTGGGTAGGCTAAAATGTCTACTAATTGTAAATTTTAAGTTAACTACACTCATTTCATTTGATTGTAGGGTTTCATTTCTTTGAAGTTGACTGTTTTACAGTGTATCTATTTGTAATAACATTTATCTAGCATTATCTGCAAATGCATTCAGCCATTTACAGAGATAAACAGAGACAGACTGACATTTAGACATGATGCTACAGAAACATACATCTGCGGTAAACGCTTGTAATCATTTATATCAGGCAGTTTTTTTACATTAAAACTCACACCCCGCTCGCAAATGTGATGTTTTTACATTAGGATGGATTTGTGTTTACACCGCAAATGCAATCTCCATGCAGTCTTTGATATTGAATCTCTGGAGATGGATTTTAATACCTTGTGTTGTGTTGTTTAGTGAGAAACAGATCAGCTTTGGCATTTTTCTGCATCCTGTTTTCAGCGTAGAGTACAGCAGGCTAATGGCTTGCAGCTCACATTTTTTTTTAACATCGTTTCCTCTAAATACACTCTGTCAGCTGTTTTCACTCCACCACCGAACTCTGTATCATCTATTTATTTAACATTGTGAACTTTGCCAACATGAGTGTAAACAATCAAGAAGGATTGGAGAGTACTCATGGAGCGCTAATTGAAGTCTACATAAATTGTTGCGGAAATTGCATGCGGCTCTTCTGTTGGAGAGCTGTGTTTTCAGTGTAAGTGGATGCACCTGGGTTATCTGCCTTTTGAGTGCTTGGATGAGGTTTGTGCTGAAGTCCACGACAATCTTCAAATCAGGTGAAACAGGGCAGCAGAATTAATAAGAGCTCATGAAACCTGTTTCCGCCATCTGATTCCTGTAGGAAAGGCTAATGGCTTCTCTTGCTGAACTCTTTCTCTAAGACAGCAGTGAGGTGAGATGAAGACTTTTTCCCTATATTTAACAACTAATTACTAAACGTTTTTGTATTCTTTGTAAACAAATAAACAAAACAGTGAAGGTAATTATGAACATTTATATATTTTTGGGACAATTTAATTGTTTAATGTTGAATTCACTTAAATTTGAAAAAACAATTTAACTAATTTAATCGATTTGTGTTGAGACAACATTAAGAAATTGCAGTAATTGTTACAGAGTATTGTAATTTAATTTATTTCTAAACTTGCAGTTGTGAGTTAACACCTTCCAGTTCTGCATTTTGGCGCAGAATTTAGTTTATTTTACTCAGAATTTATATATTTCAATTCTAATCTTATTTTTGCAATTCTGATATATCTCTCAGTTGTTATTTTTTTTAGATTCTCAAACCATGCTAAATAATTAAAATAATATAATAAAGAATAAAAAGAGTTAATAGTGAATTCTTTCAATTTCCTGAAAATGTTTATATTACATAGTTTAACCTTTTTAACTCAATTAAAAATACTTGAATTGTGCGGTGTACAATCAGATTTGTTTGAAAAAGGTCAGATTCGTTAAACAAAGACTTTAAGAAAAAAAGTAGACAAAATTAGAGAAAATTCTCTCTTCACCGATCTAGCACTATTTTCATTAAACTGTGGGAACCCCTTCGCAAACATGTCCAAACTCTTCAGCTTCACCCTGCTCCTTCTGAGTCCCCACCCCCCACTCCCAGCTTCAGCTTGGTACTGGATACTAGTTCTGGTCAGCACATTGTAGACTATTATTTTCTTTATTTAAGATTGCACTAATGTTTTTTTTTATTAATTAATTAATTTATGTTTTATTTTGTATATTTTTGTTTGCTCAAAATACTCTTCAGTGCATTTGCTTATTGTTACATGTTTATATTGTCCTTTTTGTATAATTCTTGTAGTGTGTTTTACAATGAATAAATAAAAGATAAAAAAATTGACTGAGATATGAATTCACTTCCATATCAAATATTTATCATCAAATGATCTAGCCAAATTATCTGTGAAATTGTATCCACATTCTTGCTTATTATACCTCAAAAGTCATTTAAAACCTACAGTAACCTAATTTACTCTGAGTAATATCGCACATTGGATTACTTACTGTATAGTAATTTCAGTCTATTATAAGAAAGTCAGTTGGGTTTATAAAATAAATAAATAAATAAATAAATAAATAAATAAATAAAATACAAAATCAATTATTGTGTTCACACGTTTTACATATTTGTTCTTGCAGGTTTGGTACAACATGAGGGGCAGGATTTGATGAGAACTTTGATATTGTCATGTGAGGGATGCTGGACAAGAGTGAGAATCCATGTGCAGGTTTCATTAAGAAACAGTCAGGCAGGCAATGGTCAGGCACTGGAGCAATTGGGTACATACAGGTAAGGCAAACTGCGTAGTCAGGTCATATGCTAAGAGATTGGTCCAGGTGGCAAACTACGTAAACAACTGAACAAAGCAAGGGTCACACACAGCTGTGTTCTGTAATAAAAATTCTAACATTAAATTTACAGCTATTGCTTGTAATTTGGTGTTATGTTATTTTTTTTGCTTTTTAAAGGAAATTTTTTATGTATTTTTAGAGAGTAACACGTAATTTTAAGGGTATTTTACAGATTATGCCTGTGAAAATAGTGAAACCAAAATTCAGTCAAATTGTTTTTGATAAAGATAGTAAACATGAAAATTATTGTGAGGTTAATAAAGTCAAATAATAGCCTATTGTAGGCTGCATATAATGCATGTGCTGTAAACTATGAAATGTTTATTTTACTACTCTAACAATGTTGTTATGCGAACTGTGATGATCACCAGTGATCTAGCGGCTGCGGATAACTTGAAAACTACACACGTTACTTTAACGAACTACAATTCCCAGCATGCACCTCGCACACCTTGGTTCCTAATTCTAACTGATAAAACACACATTCAGAAGATCGTTATGGACTGATTTCAAGGACTACAAACTCAGCACACCCACAGACACATGGTTTTATGAGTCTTAAACTGTTTAGTGAGCATTACGATGCGGTTTTCTCTTCCCTTGCTGTGTTTGACCCCTTTACTTTGTTATTTTGTTTGCTTGGAATTATCTGTGCACCTGTTTGTTCCTGTTTCAACTTTTAATTGCATGATGATTCTGTTAATAAACTGCTATTTGATTCTCAACTTTGTTGTGCAGCCGTCCTCACATGACACCAACCTTGTTTTTGTTGTTAAACGATGACCAAATGTGTTATTTGTGAAAAAGAAATAAAAAATTAGATGGATAGCAGTTTTGTATTTTCCCAAGAAAATTGATTTGGAATTAAACCAACATATCCTTAAAATATTTGTTAAACTATATTATAGTTTATAGTTATATTTACAGTGTTTTATGACAACAGCAATTATTTGTACCTAAGCTTTTTTTTCAATCATTTTTTTTTTTTTCAGTTTTAAAGGCATGTTTAAACTGGAAAATTTTATTGAATATTTAGAGATTTCATGCATAATTATATACATTAATTTGTATAATTACATTAATATCCTGCAATAATAACCCGTACAATTACACCTAAAATCTGTAATAACTTTTAATAATGGAACAAGAAATTACAGTTTTTTTTTTTTTTTTACAGATTATCTATATTTTTTATTCTGACAGTTTTTTTTCTTCTTTTTTTTACGCAGGGGCGCCAGAAAATTACTGTTTTTCTACAGGTGTGCTTTCAGAAATGTTCACTTATGACTACACTTGTGGTCTAGGCTCACATATCTGGGTGGATTACCCCTTTAATGAAGCAAAACCAAGAAGTTCATTAAGTCTAACCACAAAAGCTTTGATATAATTCCCACAGAATCACTGGCTGAATGTCTGATCCATAAGGCACACAAAACTGGACACGCTTCAGGAGTTTCAGCTCATCATCTGTGCAGTTTATGGCATAGACCCTTTTTAATACATCCAAGACTTTTAAATGCCAGTCATGTTCACACTTCTAAACATGACGCTGAGCAAATAAACTCTAATTGGTTGCTTTACATGTCAGTCAGATGTCCTTTGGGGCTGACCAATGAAAGCTGACCAGGTGAATCATATACTGCAGTCAGGTTAATATAATCAACACCATGCAAACTCGTTTGACGTAATTCTAGTCATTTTTAGTCTAAGGCGCACGAGTGTTCCCCAAATACTCTCTCTGTGTGTGTGTATATGATCTCTATGTGTGGGTAGGAACCCATCTGTCAGCTGGCTGGGACAGTAATGGCCCTTAGTGGTAGGATTTGGTGACAGATTGATTCAGTGTGCATATATGTGAGTGTGCATAGATTCAGCCAGCCTCATTTGGCCCTCTTAAGTGCAATGAAGCCTCTGTCTC